ACATTTAAGTCTGTGTTCATTTTGAGTTAGTTTTTGTTTATAGTGTGAGTTGAGGGCCTAAGTATTTTTACAGGGGTATTTTGGAAACTGTTCCAGCACCATTTATTGAAAAGATTATTCTTTCTCTGTTGAATTACCTTGACATCTTTATTAAAAATTGCCCGAGACCGTAAATGTGAGGATCTGTTTCTTGTTTCTCAGTTCTGTTCCACTGCTATATATTTCTGTCCTTAATGCGAATTCTACACTGTCTTAACTAGTATAGCTTTATACTGTGTTTTAAAAGGGGGAAGTATAAGTTCCAATTTTGTTCTCTTTCAAAATTGTTTTGGTTATTCTAGATCCTTTGCATTTTCAAATACGTTTTAGGATCAGCTTATCAATCTCTTCCAAAAAATTTGCTGCAATTTTGATAGGGATTGTGTTGAACCTGTACATCAATTTAGGAAGAGTTGCTATTTTAAAGATAATGAGGCTTCTAATCCATGATAATGGAAAGTTTTCTCTATTTAGATCTTCTATAATTTTTTGGGGGTGGGCATGAAAATACACGCAGCAGAACGTAAACTCATTCGACAGTTTTTACATGTACAGTTCTGTGACATTGTCATGTTATGGCTCCATTCTTGCTTTCTCTTTCCAAGTTATTTCACCACCGTTAATTTAGACTTACTGCCCCCTAAACTTCGTATCTGTGCTTTACTAGATCTTTTATAATTTTTCTCCTTAATGTATAGTCGTTTTCAGTGTACAAAGTCTTGCACTTCCTTTGTTAAATTTCCTATTACTTATTATTTTTGATTATATTCTGAATGGAATTGTTAATTTTCAGATTATACTGGAATACAGAACTACATGTGAGTTTTGTATGTTGATTTTGTATCCTGTGAACTTGTTAACTTATTTATTACTTCCTGTGGTTCTTTTGTATATTCGCTAATATTTTCTACGTAGAAGATCATGTCTTCTGTAAATAAAGGTGGTTTTACTTCTTTTCCAATGTGAATGCTTTTTCTTTATTTTTGTGCCTTATTGTACTGGCTATAACCTCCAGTATCGTGTTAAGTAGGTGCCCTGGTGGCGCAGTGGTTAAAGCACTCAGATGCGAAGCAAAGGGTCGGCGGTTTCAACCTACCAGCTGCTCCACAGGAGAAAGATGTGGCAGTCTGCTTCTGTAACAGTTTACAGCCTTGGAAACCCTTTGAGGCAATTCTGTGCTGTCCTATAGGGTCGCTATGAGTTGGAATCAACAGCAGTGGGTTTGATTTTTTGGTTTATAATGTTAAATAGAATTGGCGGGAGGAGGCGTCCTTGCCTTGTTTCCTGTCTTCATTGGGGAAAACATTCAGTCTTTCATCATTAAGTAGAATGTTAGTGTATAGATAAATTTCTTAAATGCCCTGTATCAGATTGAGAAAGTTCTTTTCTATTCCTAGTTCTTGAGAGTTTTTATTATGAATGGGTGTTGAATTCTATCAAATGCTTTTTTTCTGTTTCTATTGAGATAATCATATGATTTTTGCCCTTTATTTTACTGATATGGTATTTTACATTAATTGCTTTTTGGATGTTAAACCAAACTTAAACTCCTAGGGTAAATCTGATTTGGTCATGTTGTTTAATGTTGCTGGATTTGGTTGGCTAATGTTTTGTTAAAGATTTTTACATTTGTGTTTTTGATGGATATTGATCTGTACTTTCTTTTTCCCTTCTTTTTTGTGTTGTCTTTGTCTGGCTTTGGTATCAGTTTCATAGAATGAATTGGAAAGTGTCTCCTCCTCATTTATTTTCTGAGCAAAATATTTGTGTAAGATCAGTATTATTTCTCCTTTATACACAGTGTGCCTTGTGGGCTTTGGCTTTTCTTGTGGGAAAATTTTAAATGACCGATTTGATTTGTAGTTGTAGGTATTCAGGTTTTCCTTTTCTGCTTCCCTCAGTTTTGTTAATTCATATCTTTCTAGAAGTTTGTCTGTTTCATCTAAGCTGTGTAATTTGTGGGCAGAAAATTATTCATTGTATTCTCTTATAATCCTTTTAATTTTTATAGACTTGATAGTGATCAAAATCATTTTCAATTTTGGTAATTTGTGTCTTGCCTCTTGATCAGTCTAGCTAAAAGTTTATCAATATTTTTATGTTTTCAAAGAACCAACTTTTGACTTCATTGGTTTTTCTATTGATTTTCTATTTAATTTA